GCACCTCACCTACACCATTGCGCACACACACTCTCTGTTACTCTCATTCCCCCCAGCCTCCCATTCCTTCAAAAACCCTTTCACTTGCCAGAGTTGGAGGCAGAGTTGATGATGTGGAGAGATGGAGTGGCTGGGGACTTTAGACCCAGAGAGGGAGAGGGGCTGTGTGCTGATGATTGGGGTGGGGGTGGAGGGGCAGGCTTGCAGGGTATACCCTTTGGTTGGTTGATGATGCATGGAGGGGATTGTAACCTTGACAATGAAATGATACACGATAGGATGAATGTAAAGGTAATGTTCTCCCATGTAAATTATCACATAATTCACAATAAAATATTTAAAAAACAAAATTTAAAAAACCCTTTCACTGTGCCATCTTTGTGCCCAGCCAAGACCCCTCTATCCTCCACACCTTTAAGAATTGTCTCCACCTCCTGGTCTTACTTGAAATCTGTCTGATTCCGTCAAGTGTCTCAACGGGAGGTTGCTTTGCTGCGACATCCCACACACTTCAGGTTCAAGTGGTGGAGCAGAATCTTCCCTGTTTTGCATTACCTCTTCCCAACCATTACCCCCTGTCTGCTTCTCGGAAGCTCATTATCCTGCTATACCATCCTCTTTGGCCTTCCTGCTCTTTCTCACTGACTAAAGATTTCATTCCTGCAAGACTTACAGTCTTTCTCTAGACCCCAAACTCTTGCCACCATCTGAGGAAACACCATTCCAGGCTTTCATTCCCCCGACTACACATCTCCAGCAACCATCTTCTCTACTCAGCCACCAACACTCCCACCCACGTCCCCACCCAAAGCAAACACTCTGAACACTGACATCAGCTCCAAGCCCACCGCTGAATCTCCAGACCCTAACACACAAAGATGGCCAGCAAAGATTCCCTGAGCCAGTGAATAAATGAATGTGTGAAGCCAGTGTCCCAGATGGGAGCTGGGCATAATGGTAAGGTCACTAGACAAGGGGGTGAGGTCCAGGTTCTAGTGCTAGCCTTGTCACTAAGGAGCTGTGGGACTTGTCCCCTGGCATTCTTCCATCCCATGGCCTCCTTTTCCTCATCTGAAAAATTACAATTTGTGCAGGTGATTTCTGCGAATCTTGCTTATGACTATCGACAATAATAAGAAATATGAGTTAGTGAGCCTTTAGGTTACTTAGGCACTGTGGTGGGTTTCTACATATTACTTCTCACATATTCAGTAGCTCTGTGAAAACTTACTGATCTCATTTTGAAAGTGAGAAAACAGAGGTGAAGATTTATCCTGCCATATACATTGTTGCTGTTGTTAAGTGCTATCGAGTTGGTTCTGACTCACAGCAACCCTGTATAGGGTTTCCAAGGAGCAGATGGTGAGTTTGAACTGCTGACCTTGCAGTTCAAACTGACCTTATGGTGTGTGCTTATCCTACAGCACCATACCAGGACTTCAGGACTCATATTACACAGTAGTAACTGAAGAAATAATGATGATGGCAATACTATTGGATATTACTAAGATTTTACTAAGTGTACATGTTAGCTCATTTAGTCTTTAGTGCTTATGAATCGGGCTACTAACCTCAAGGTCAGCAGTTCGAAACGACCAGCTGGTCCGTGGGAGAAAGATGAGGCTTTCTGCTCCCATAAAGATTTACAGCATTGGAAACCCTGTACAGGGTCACTATGAGTCGAAACAGACTCCACGCTACTTAACAACAACAACCATATAGATGGACTCCTGGTGTGGCGCTGTGGGTTAATGCATGGGACTACAATGTAGGCTTGAACTGCAAGGTTGGCGGTTCAAGTCCACCAGCAGTTCCTTGGAAATGCTATACAGGGTCGCTATGAGTCAGAACTGACTTGATGGCACTTAACCACAACAACCACAGAAATAGTAGGTGGTAGATTCAGGATTAAAATTTAGGTGGTCAACACAAAACCAAATATGTCTAAATGAATCTCATATCTTGAGATCGAAGACATCTCATTGTTACAAAGACTACTGTTTATGCCTCTAAAATGCCAGTTACCAGTTACTCTAGAAAGGATTTTGACTCATTGTGAGCCCACATGTATCAGAGTAGAACTGTGCTTAGTAGGGTTTCAAAGACTAAGTTTTCCAGAAGTAGATTACCAGGCATTTCTTCTGAGGTCTCTTTGAGGTTATAGGAGACAGGAAGTAAAGGCTCCACTTATCCTACCCTTTGCTTGAGCCTGCTCTCCACCCATTCAATTCCAATAGCTCTGATTTAATCAGGGACTGTGCAGGGGAGGTTGGGTGAGGAATCACTATAGGGGACACAAAGCCAGACAGCGCTGTTTCTGAGCACCTCGTGATCTCTGGACAGATGTGTCAGGTAACTGAGAGCTTCGAGTCCACAGCTAGGCGTGTCCCAGAGTGGAGTCCACAGGCTCTGGCATCAGAATGGCCCGGGTTCTCATTATACATGCAGATGCCTGGATCCCACTTCAGACTACTGAATCAGCATTTCAGGGAGAAGCTGCTTAATCTGAATTTTTGTCAAACTCCAGCAGACTCGATGGTAACTGGGTTAAAATGTAGGAATTATTATCCTGAGGAACCACGTGGTTTGTAGAGACTTGAATGCCCAATGAGAGATTTTTAATTAATGCTGTAGGCAGTGGGAAGCCATTTAGCTTTTTTAAAGCAGTAGAGTGACAACACTAGGATAGTATTCAAGGAGAACGATGCTGTAAGTAATATTCAGTGTGGATTAATGTGACCCACTGCCATTGAGTTGATTCCCACTCACAGCTACCCTATGTAGAGTTTTTGAGGCTGTAAATCTTTACAGGAGCAGAAAGCCTCCTTTTTCTCCCACAGAGCATCTGGTGGATTCAAACTGCTGACCTTGTGGTTTGCAGCCCAACATACAATCCACTATGCCACCAGGTAAGGAAGGCGTAATACCAACCTGGAGGTCATGATAGAATAGTCTAGATAGAATGTAGGGACTGGAGGACAGAGGGTAATTGACAATTGTTGCAAATATAGATGCTACAGGTTCTATCAACTGATGGATCATCAGGGGTATAGCAGGGTTGTGTGCCTGGCAACTAGGAGAATAAAAAGTAAAGCTATTGTGAGGCAGAAAATAAATCTGAAGTAGGGAGAAGGAAGGAAATCATCTTGATTTGTTCCTGTAGAGATTAAAATATGAGAAAATTATTTCAGAGATATCCAGTTCTCAACTGGAAACAAATGGTGGGGTTCTCTGCAGTAAAGATGGGGTTAGAAATTATGGTTTGAAATGTATTGTACATCATGAGATGCAAATTCAAATACCTGCAGGAGCAAGGCAGGCAATGTAAATGATGAGTAAGTATAATAAACAACAGCAACAAATGCCCCTGGCATATATCCAGTATAAATGTCAGCCGCCACTTGGTCTTAGTAGGAAATGGCATAGACTCTGGTGAACTGGTGTGCACATTCCACGTCACAGTGGCCAGCATGTGGGATCACTGCTGACAGATAATCTGACTTTTAAAGAAAGCAATAAACAATATATATGTATAAAGCATGACACTTTCAAATAGTTAAATGTTGACAACTAATGTTTATAGGGCTTTAACACTATGTGTGCCAAATAATATGAGGGGGCTTCAGAAAGTTCATGGGAAAATGGAATTTAAAAAATAATGGATTTTTCCTTAAGAACTTTTTGAAGGCCCCTGGGTCAGCTTAGCTTCACAGGCCTTCAGTTTGTGATTTTTGAATTAGCTGGAAGAGGTCGTTGTAACCACAGATGAAAGTGTTGAGCAAAATGAGAAGAAAACCAGGGACTGAATCCTAAATAGCCATGACTCTCCCAACCCCCAAGTTTGCCTGTAGGTGAGCCCAGAGCTCAGAGGAACTGATTTTTTTTTTTTTTTTTTTTTACCACTGTGTGTTTGATGGGGTCCTATGCTGGTGCAGCAAATGGAGTCTGTGTCTGCTGCAGTTATTTCTGCTCCTCACCTGGAAATCATGTGAGCAGCAGCTGAGGTATTGATGCTTTCCAGGTTAGATGCCAGCTAGGGTAGGATCCTGGAGCTTGCACACCATCAGCCTCCCGGGCCATTCTCATCCCCTCCTGTAGTAAAGATGTGTTGTGCTGAGAAGTCTCTGATTCTGGCTGGAGCATCTTGCTTAACACATCCTAGCTGCTCACTTTCCCATCAAGAAGCTCTTCTGTTGCCTAGTTTAGGTGCTTTCTGAACAGCCGAATCCTCTTTTTGCTTATTTTACTCTTGGTGTTGTTTGTTGGTAGGTGCCTTTGAGTAGGTTCTGACTCACAATGATCATATATGTACAACAGAACCAAACACTGGTCAGTCCTGCGCCAAACTCACAGTTGTTATTGTTTCAGCATATTGTTGCTGCTACTGTGTGAGTCCATCACATTGGGGGTGGGAGGAAGGGTTCTTCCTCTTTTTCACTGACCTTCCACTTTACCTAGCATGATGTCCCTCCTGACAATATGTCCAAAGTATGAAAGACAAAGTCTCACCACCCTTACTTCTAAGAAATATTCTAGCAGCACTTCTTCCAAAACAGAAAGACAATGCTGGTTCAGGAGTAGAATTCTCGCCTTCCACATAGCAGTCCTGGTGTGGCGCTGCAGGATAATGCACTGGATTATAAGGTCAGTTTGAACTGCAAGGTCAGAGGTTCAAACTCACCAGCCACTCCTGTAAAACCCTATATAGGGTTGCTGTGAGTGGGAACTGACCCGATGGCACTTAACAACAACAACATACAAGAGACCTGGGTCTGACGCCCAGCCAACACACCTCATGTTCAACCACCAGCTTGTGTGGAGGCTTGTGTGTTGCTGTGCTGCTGAGCAGCCTTCAGTGTAGCTTCTAAACAAAGACAGACTAGAAGAAAAGGCTCAATAATTTGTTTCTCAAAATCAAGCCCTGAAAACTCCATGGATCACAACAGCCCAATCAGCAAGTGGTCCTGGGGATAATACAAGGCCAGGCAGGGTTTCTGTTTTGTGGGTCACCATGAGTTGGGGGCTGGCTTCAAAGAAAATGGAAAAATGGCTTACTTATTTTTTTTTTTTTAGCTTTCAGACGCTTCTCCAACTTTCAACTGGCTCTAAAAAAAAATGGTCCTAGGGACTTGAGAATCATTGTGGTTTGCCAATTAGAAAGCCCTTTGCTTATTTATATGTTACCAAGCCTTCCTTTAGTCCAGATGTGGACTAAGTAGTTTTCCATTTACCCTCAACCTTAATCATCTTTGCATTATCTATTTCTGTCCCTGTTCTCAGTTCACTTTGGGGTGGGGGAAGGGATTTAAAGATAGACATTTTAAAAATAGCTAACATGCCTGCTTTCCTGCAATCCTTGTCAACAGGATTTAGGGACATTTTCCTGACTTCTGATCCTGAATCTAAATTCTAAACAGGTCCCAGACTGATTGATCTAGAACTGATCTTGAAAGTTATAACGTAGTGGGAAGATGACAGGGAATCCCAAGAGAGGGCCTGTCCAAAGATGCTTGCAAAGAGTTATGAGTATATTTAGCAGTATTTCCACCCTGATTAGGAAGTGAGGAAGAGGCGTCTGGTCCTCCCTGGGTGATGTTTCTTATCAGCTCTGGACAGCAGAGCAGGGCTGTCACCAATGAGGTCTGAAAAGAGGAAAGATCAAATTAACATCTGCAGCAGCCACATTCAGACGTACCCCGCCAAAATGTACTGGTCCTCCCAAAATGTAAGTGCTTAAGCCAAATCTGTTGCTCTTGAGTCAATTCTGACTCACAGGGACCCTATAGGACAGGGTAGAATTGCCCCAGAGAGTTTCCAAGGATGTAAATCTTTACAGAAGTGTACTGCACAGTGGTTGGTGGGTTCAAACTGCCCATCTTCTGATTAGTAGCCAAGCTCTGAACCACCACACCACCAGGGCTCCGTACCTAAAGACACCCTCCCCTCTGAAACACTCATATTTCACAAAATGGCATACTTCAACATACACCACTGTGGGTACATGTTAGGAGTACTTGGGTGGTACAAACCACTAACCAGAGCTTGATGGTTCGGATCCACCCAGAGGCTCCTCGGAAGAAGGACTTGGTGACTTGCTTCCAAAAGGTCGCAGTCTTGAAATCCCAATGGAGTGTAACACTACACAGAAACACATGGGGTCGCCATGAGCCAGAATTGACTTGACATCCAATGGTTTGGATTTTGTTTTTTTAAGATGCATATTAACATCTGCAAACATGCATTCCTCCTATCCACAAATCTCAGAGCACACACACACATAAATATACTTACTACCTTTCCTACCCACACTGATACACACACACACATGCTCACACTCACTCACACACACATACACAAAAATACACACCACACAGTGTAGGGATGAGATGACATCATCCTCTTGGAATAGCTCAGTCCAGCCTCTGCCTGCAGATCTGCTACACTCAACATCAGGTTCCTACGTGTGGCCAGAACACTGCGAGGTAACCTTGGCAACGAAGCCAAAGCCCCACAGGCTCTCATGAAAGAGCTGGGAAAGACAAAAGTCACATAAAATGACAGGGGAGTAGAGAGCAAGGCTATGTGGTTACCCTGTGGACAGAGCAGAACAGAGGCCTGAGGAGAGCAATCGAGTTTTAGGGAGGTTCTGACTTGAGGAGAATAGTTTTGGATGCTTTGGGTGACACACGTGGGTCATTCATGTGGGTGAGATGGAACCAGGATCAGAGAAGGGCAGTGAGACACAGGGCACAGAAGTTTCTGGTACAGATGAAGCATAAATTGAATTCCACCCTTATCCCACCCCCACCTCATCCCCACCACACCCTTCAGGGGTGAAGTCATAGTATCAGGGCACTTAGGGTTCCAAATTCATCCTGATGCTTAAACGGCACATTGACTCTCTCTTCGCAAAGAAAAGGGAGGCAACATGCAAAGAAGGAAAATGAAGGTTGGTTCTTAGCTTTTTTTTTTAGAAAGATGGCACTACTTTATTATTGTGATATGGCAACTGGCTTTCAAATGGTTAATTATTCTAAAAGTATTAAGTCCTTTTGTGACCATTTAAAAATTATGAACATTGGAATTCTTAGGTTTTCAATTTATGATATTTTCACAAATGAACAATTTTAAAGCAAAAATTTCCCTCACCCTCATGGAAGAAACAAAAAAAGTTTGTTTTGACATTACCTTAAGGAGATCAAGCAAGAGCCCATTCCAAATTTACAAGCATGAATTTGAGTGCCTTTGTCCACTGATGGAATAGCATTCAACTCCATATCCAAGGTCTTCCATCTGTCCGCTCTCCACATTGATCCTGTAAGTCAGGCAGAGATCCACTTTCTCATCCTCTTCCTTGAATTGCTGTTGAGTTGCTGCAAACATTCCAGGAAAGCCACCATTGTGAGGTCAAAGTTATCCAAAGAGACACTCTACCCCCAAAACAAAACAAAGGCAGTTCAATAGAGTCATCTGTTAGATACTTCAGATAGGAATGGTTTCCACAGGGGATATGTTGATATCTCTGAAATTCCATTCCCATTTTCTTGGAAAGGACAAGGAGCAGTAGAGTTGTCTGCCCCCAGGCAGCGCTGATTTCATTCCAGCATACAGGGACAGTGGGGAGGCAGCCCAATCTGAAGTTATTGATGATGCCCAAAGGGCCTTCATGCTGGATATCAAATGTCGTATTAAAGATACTTGATTCTGCCAGTTGGTCCAAGTGGATCTGGGTATATTTCAGCTGGTTCTCCAAGCTCCTCATCTCATCAAACAATTCCAGTTCTTGATACTTCAGGGCACTGCAGTCCCTCAGGTACTGTATCTGTTGCTGGTCCAGTGCTTCAGTCTTGGCCTGGGCTGCCTTTTTCCAGTTCTTCTCCATATTACCCAGCTTTTGGACTAGACTTACCTCTTCCAGCTCCAAGCTTCAGCTCCTTCTATAATGTTTCCATCTCATTCTCACCTGTTGTCAGCTCCCTGGTCTCCAAGCAGTGTCTGTAGCTCTGACTCGTAGATTCTGTGATTGTGAATTGGATGTCTAGCTGTTCAAGAAGGTTGTTAGTGCACTCCTTACACAGGGGGTGATTCACAGATTTCTCACCAGCGAGGATGTCAAATATGTCTGTGGTGGCCTTTTGGATGCTTGTTCTTACGGAACACACATCCCAAAGTAGGGTGAAGGGGTTGAAATTCTCCCAGGACGTTCATGCTGTCATCATGATGGGGTCTGTCCGCAAGAAGTACCATCCTGTAGATTTGTAGTATCTGTCTCATTCCTGGAAGTAGGATCTTCCTCCTTGATTCCTCCTGACTTTCCTTGAGCCAAAGGGTAGTTGCTGGGTGGTGCTGAGGCTCGGGGTCTCTGCAGACTTACTCAGTTTTGGGGGCTGCCTTGTAGCACTGGCACATGAATCAGATGGAGAACATGCTGGAGGACATGATTTCAAGTTTCCTCTGACTCTCTAGTGACCTTAAACTCCTAGGTCAGATCCTAGCTTTTGAGCTTAAGATCCTGGATGAATTAGAAATTTCCAAAAGTAGTTTGGACTATAATGTATTTGACTTTGTAAGAAACTGACATGAGAACCCTGAGTTAGGGGCACTTCCACTGTATAGTGACTTGGGAACTTTATTAGTGTGTGTGATGTGTCAGGATAGGTCATAGAACCCTTTATTAAAGAAAAGTATCAAAATGTGATGCTGTTATTCCTCAGTGTATCCTCCACCTAGGTCTTCTTGTTGTTCAGTGCTGTGAGTCAGTTCCCAATCATAATGACCCTATTTAGGGTTTCTGAGGCTTTCAACCTTTGAGGGAGCAGAAAGCCTCATTTTTTTTTTCCTGTGGAGCAGCTGGTGGGCTTGAACAGTGGACTTTGTGGTTTGCAGTCCATTGCTTATCATATGGAGCCACTACACTCCCCCATCTAGACTTATATATTTCTGAAGGTGGTGTTTCCATCTCGCTGTCACCCTTTCCTGAAGAATTCTGGATTCTTCATTTTCTACCACACCCGAACAGCAGCTTTAGCATCCTTGAAGGACTCAAACTGTGTTCCTTTGAAATGTTCTTTGGATTGGGGGACCAAAAAGAAATCTGACAGGGCAAGATCAGGGTTATAGGATGGATAGGGTAAAGTTTCCCATTGAAATTCTCCTAGGACAGCTCTTGCCACCTTCGAAGAAGGAGCAGGTGCATTGTGATAGAATGAATTCCTTGGTGCAACTTTCCTGGCCTTTTTCTCAGCAATGCAGTTTTCCATTTTCTTAAAACTTCATAAGAAAGACCTTGTGATTGTCCTGCATCCTTTGAGAAAAATTCCAAGATTGCTCCATTGGAAACACTCACCACCACCACCACCAAATGATCACCATAACCTAAGCTGACCTCTTCTGTCTTGAACTTAACTGGCCCAGCAGATCCCCTCAGAAGCCACTGCTTTGATTGGACCTTTCTTTTTGAAGGTATCCTAATGAGACTAAGACAAGTATATTACTGAGAAAACTTGTCTGTGGCCATCCTCTGATAGCAGAGATATGTTTACTGGAACCTGATTAGCAATTTATTTTGACCTAACCCGATATCGTCGTTATGTGATGTAGAGTTGGTTCCGACTCATAGCAACACTGTACAGGGTTTCTGAGGCTGTAAATATTTACAGGAGCAGAAATCCTCATCTTTCTTTCATGGAACTGCTGGCAGTTTCCAGTACTCCATGGGAGAAAGATGAGGCTTTCTGCTCCATAGCACTTAACAACAACAAGAGCAACTGAATACTGCTAAAGTAATCATTCCCATTTCCCCCTCTGTACAGTCCCTGGTTACCACTAATAAATGTGTCTCTATGTATTTGTCTCTTTGAAGTATTTCACATAAAGGGGGATAATACAATATTTGCACTCTTGTGTCTGACTTATTTTACTTCACATGTTTTCAAGGTTCATCGATGTCATAGCTTGTATCAGAACTTCATTTCTCTTTATGGCTGAATAAGATTTGGGGACTTTTAATATAGATTAAGAAGTCCCTGAGTGGCCCAAATGGTTCCTACCCCAAGGCACTTGGGAAGAAAAGCCTGGTGAACTGCTTCTGAAAGGACACAGCCTCGGAAACCATATGGAGCAATTCGACCATGCACACACATCAAGTTGCCATGGGTTGGTACTGACTCGAAGCAATTAACACCAATATGGGGTAAATTAACCTTCCTTTCCCTAGGTTGTATGTACAGATTAAAAAGGATGAGAAAGCAGGGAAACTACCTTCTAGTTCTTATGCGTTATCTCTGTCTCACCCAAGGTTCAGGGACTAGTTACCACAGATGAGGCTAAGACAGACTCTCCTGTTCCTGTCCTGCAAATGCAGACTGTTTCCCCCATTCATGGCATCATCTGGAATAGCAGTTCTGTGGGTCTAGGAGCCATGAGAACAACAGCACAGGAACTCTATGATGTTGTTGTTATATGCCATGGAGTGGGTTCCGACTCATAGAGACCCTGTACAGGATTTTCTATAGTCTAAAGAAAAAGGCACCATATGTAAAGTCAGCAGGTCTAGTATTGTTCTTGGCTCTCTTGAGAATCCGCTGTGGCATTTGTTGAGTGGTAAAAAATGTATATAAAGATAGAGTTATATATTTTCTAAGGCAAAAAGCAAGTGATGGTCTGTCAAATGAGTTTTTCCTTTAATTCTGGCTGTAGGAATTGTAAGGCCCAGAACATCAGCCTTGTCAAAGGTACACCTACAAAGATGCTAAGTGTTTTAGGATTAGGTGCTTTGAAAACCTGTACCTCTGTTCTTAAATTCCTAGCACTGCTGCAACAGAAATGTCACATGTAAGAGGCTTTAAAGACCAGAAATCTATTTTCTCATAGTTCTGGAGGCTGGAAGTCCAGATCAAGGTCTTGGCCGTGTTGATTCCTTATTTGTAGAAGTCTCAAGTATTCCTTGGTTCCTTGGCTTAGAAACCTCCCTCACATGACACTTGTCTTTTCCTGTTTTTGTTTGAGTGTATATACTGCTTTTAACATAACACAGAAGTAATTATGTTTTGGATCCACCTACACTGATAGGACCTCAACTGAATGATTAATCATATTGCATTACATTGCATTATGGGGCGGGGGGGAGGTGATTACATTCCATTAAATAAATCCACAGGTATAGGAGTTAATATTCCAACGCATATGTGGGAGCATAATTCAATCCATAGCATTTGCCTATATCTTGATCCATTTCCCTGACTTCTTGGCGGTTGACTTTGATCAATCATGGTCTTACTGATAGCTGGTCTCTTTGGTCTCCTGTACCTCTAGGTTATCTTGTTTCCTGTAACACATTTTTTTCACCTCAATGGGTAAAGGTAAGTATTTTCTATGGCCTGATCCAGCTTCTGGGGAGGAGCCAGTGAACAGGCCAACTATGAGATGTGTTTGATGTCACCATATTAGAATTCCAGGGCATTTTGATGGGTTGTATGAAGCAGTGGAGCAGAATATTTGAATCTGAACTGGCCTAGTAGGGCATATGAACATAGTAATTTGTTCTTAAGGTTCCTGGGTGGTTCAAATGGTTAAGCACTTAACTAGCTGAAAGTTTGATATTTTGAACCCACCCAGAGGCACCTCAGAAGAAAGTTCTGATGATCTGCTTCTGAAAGGTCAGAGCTACTGAAAATCCCATGGAGTACAGTTCTATTCTGCAACACACGAGTCAGAATCGAATTGCCAGCAACTGCCAACCTGTTGTCAAGCAGCTTACAACAGTTGCTGAGACAAGCTGTCAACTTTTAAAGAGATCACCAACAGTATCATACAGTAGATTATTAATGGCTCATGAGTGGTATGAATAACATTAGTTCAGTGGTGGGAGAATACTCAGTACAGGCTTTCATGCTTAAGCTGTGTTTTAGGTGTTTGGGGGATTGAAAGAGGTGAGTTGGAGGCAGTAAAGTATCCAGAAGATAAGAACATGAGCCACACTGCAAAGCCAGGCACATTTGGACATGTATGGAATGGGGACCACATTACAGGACAGGGATGCAGATCACAGGCAGAATGTTGAGGGCTGTGGGCTGCACAGCTGCTGTGGTGTATAGTAGAGTGATTCTCTGCAGCAAAGGTTCCCAAGGTGGCAGAAGCCTATAATGGTCCCATTACTGTGGAGTTGATTCTGACTCCCAGCAATGCTACAGGACAGAGTAGACCTGCCCCATAGGGTTTCCTAGGCTATAACCTTTGGAGATAAGATTCCTGGTGATACAGAAGTTAAGTGCTTCTTCTGAACCCACCAGTCACTCAGTGGGAGAAAGATTTGGCAATCTGCTTCTGTAATGATTACAGCTTTGGGTCAGGTTGACTCTGTCCCACGGAGGTCACTATGAGACAGAATAGGCACAAAGGTTTTTTTGTTTTTGTTTCTGCAAACTGCCACACCTCCTTTTCCCTGTGGATTAGCTAGTAGCTTCAAAGCACTGATCTTCTGATTATCAGCTGAGTGCTTAACCAATGCACTGGCTGGGCTCCTTCCTGTAAAGGCAGGTGGTCCAGATGATGAGAGGCCTTAACTATCAGGCAAAGGAGTCCAGACTCAATCCAGCAAACAAAGGGGACAGAGGTGTCTCTGAAGGGCCTGAATAAGAGAAGAGCAAGTAAATGGGTCACTTTGGAAGGGAGTTTAGGAAGGGTGATGTGGGGATGTGATTGGATAGATTCTACTGCAATCATTTAGCCATGAAGAAGTAACTGGTCTTGGGACTGGTCTGAGCAGCAAAGTTCAGGAAGAAGCCAAAAGTGGATCTGTAAGATTCTGGCTGGAGTGACTAGAAAAGTAAAGGGATCTCTAAATGATACAGAGAACTGTAGAGGAGCTGACTTTGGAGAAGCCATTGAGGTGGTCTCTGGGCATCCCAGGGGAAGAACACAGCAGGTGGTGGAAGGAACTAGGTGAATAGACATAGGACCAATCGACTACGCATGTTTGAAAGACAGTTGCAAAATATCATCAATGTAGGATCTTTCTGAGTAAAGAAAGATAGGAGTGAAAAGAGGGAGTAGTAAATACTGACAGTGAATTTCAGAGGCAGGAAGGGATCCAGGAGAGGTACATCCTAGAAAGGGGGCAAGGAACCTTGGGACAGTGTCAAGGAAACAAAGGAGGAGACTGCTTCCATACACTGCCTGCCCAGAGTTCACAGAAAATGAGAATTTACAGAAGCCACTGGGTTTGATTCATGTAACAAATATGTATGGGGCATTTATGTATGCATGTTGGTTAGGAAGTTACCCCCATTCAGCAGATACCTGCCGAGAACCTGGGATGGATCCAGGCCCAAATGAGTGGAAGAGGAAAACTGAGGCCACATCCTTCCCTAGAGGGGATTGGGTTTTTCCATCCATAATGAAAAAGAAAGGCAGATTGCAGAGGGGTGGAAGAAGAGGAAGTGATAGAAAAATGTATACAGTTGAGTGCGAACCACTTACTCATTTTTAATTTATTTTTTATTTTTTTTACATTTAAAGGATGTTGTTGTTAAGTGCCATGGAGTCAGTTCCAAACTATAGCAACCCTGTATAGGGTTTCTGAGGAGCAGCTGGGAGTTTGAACCACTGACCTTACAGTTCAAACCGACTATTGCAATCTTGCAATCCACTGCATTAACCCACAGTGCCACACCAGGATTCCATTTAAGGGATGGTAGTGGTGGAGAAGGGTAGTGGTGGTGGTGTGCCGTGAAGTTGGTTTCCCTTCAGATTTATAGCGACCCTGCATAAGGTTTCCTAGGTTGTAAATCTTTACGGGAGAAGTAGTATCATCTTTTTCTCTCGCAGAAAGCAGTTTCTAACTGCTGATTTTTTGAGGTTAGCAACCCCACTGGTAACCACTACTCTACAAGAGGATGTTGATGTTGTTGTTGTTGTTGTTAAGTGCCATAGAGTCGTTTCCGATTCATAGCGAACCTGTATAGTGTTTCCAAGGAGCGGCTGGTGAGCTTGAACCACCGACTTTGTGGTTCAAACGACTTTGCAGTCCAGCTCATTAACCCACAGCACTGCTTGTTGTTAAATGTTGTGGTTAAGTGCCTGCTGTGGAGTCAGTTCTGTTGTTAAATAGGGAATGAGAAAAGTAGTTTGAGGGGGCAGATAAGTTTCTCACACTTCCCTCCACCTCTCACCCAACAACATATGTGAAAATTGGATGTTTCTAGGCAAGAAAAATGGAGTCCTGGTGTGGCCCTGTGGGTTAACGCACTAGACTGCTAAGTCATTTGAACTTCAAGGTCAGTGGTTCAAATTCACCGCTGCTCCTTGGAAACCCTATACAGGGTCGCTATGGGTCAGAATCGACTCGACGGCACTTCACAACAACAACAGGTAAGAGAAAAGGAGTTGTAGAGGAAGAGCAGAACTTGTTGAAGAAAGTGGGATCATTATGGAAGGAAATATAAGATTCAGACTCCACTTCTGAAGAACTATAGGAGCCCTGGTGGCTATGTAGATTAGGTAGGTTTACCACGGCTCTTTAAGCCCACCATTCAGTGCGCGGGAGAAAGATGAAGCGGTCTGTTCTTGTAAGATTTACTGTCTCTGAAACCGTATAGGATCGCTAGCAGTGGGAGCCGATTTGATGGCATTGGATTTGTGTGTTTGTGTGTTCCAAAGAGCCATGGCAAAGAGGTAAAATGATGACAAAGAATGTGAGTGAGCGGTTCTGCCAGTAAGTGGTTGGAAATTTTACTGGAGTCCAAGCGGGACCGCTTGGGAGAGGTGGTATCAGCGAAGGCTTCTTGGAGGAGGTGGCCTTTCATCGGAAACTTGAAGAATGGCCGGATTTGGATGGGAGGGGCGGCTAGGAGAGGTCGGGACGTTCCCTGTGTGCTGCAAGCTGGGAGCTGATTTCCTTTTCGAAGACCTTTCGGCTTCTCCGACCTCTCTCTCCTTAACCGCCACGCTCGACTCGTAAGCCCCGCTCAGGTTCCCAGCACTGACGTCAGCGGACGATGACCTCAGCGCGGAGGCGGGGGCGGCGACGTGGGCGGGTCTGCGGCAGCGCGAGGGGCGGGGCGGACTCCCGGGCCCGCCCTCATCCGCTTGCGATGGCCAATGGGCACCTTTACCAATTTCCCTCTCCCCTCCCGGCCTGGGCGCACAGTATGAAAGGCGCTGCCTGGGGCGAGTCCTGTCAGAGCTGGATACCCTACCAGGCGGGTGAAAACTTGCAGGTGGCCTCCTCCGAGCCCTTCCGATTAGCGGCACGTCCCACCAGATACCTCTCAACTCACCCAGCCGCCACTGCTCTTGGAGTCACACACATCATGAACCAGACCCGCTGGACCTCGAAGAGAACTGACATGCTCCCGGAGATCGCCGCCGCCGTGGGTTTCCTCTCCAGCCTCCTGAGGACCCGGGGCTGTGTGAGCGAGCAGAGACTTAAGGTTTTCAGCGGGGCTCTCCAAGAGGCACTAACAGGTGGGCACGCACCGAGGGTCCAAGCGCCCGTCCAACTCCGGCACACGGGCTCGGCCGCCTCCTTGCCTGGGGCTCCTTTCTCTCCTAGGGCCGGGTTCCCAACAATAGCAATTCTGTTTCGCTCTTCCGGTACGCGGGACGGCCGCAGCCCCCCACCCCTGGGGTCTTGTCGCCTGTCTCCTTTCCGACCTGCGCTCGGATCTGGTCCGAGGTGTTGGTTAATGGTTGGGCATACCCCCTCCCGGCTGTCCGGGGAGTAGACCCTTGTCCCAGAATGTGGTCCCAAATGTGATCCCAAGTCCCCAGTTTATGCCACCGAAGAGGGGGGTACGTTCGAGCCAGAGTGCTGGTTCACCTTCTTCGTTGGGACGCAGCTGGCCACAAAGCTCTGCTTCCCGCTTGGGGGTCCTTAAAGGAAAAGCTGTTTCAACAATTTAGAGACCCAGTCGTGGTTCTTCCTGGCCTTGCGATGCTGAGTTCTGCCTGGGCCAATTCCCTAGTGTGGACTCGCTTGAAGTTTGAAGCCAGGCCCCCTTTGTGCCCTTTGATTCCCCTTGGAAGCCATATGCCACCGATTATGGTACCCCTAATGAGCCTTGTAGCTAGTTACTAGATTAATGCGAGGGTATTGGGAGGTAGTCAGTGTGAGGCTGGAAGGTTGACGAGATAAGTAGAGGCTGACTGGGAGAGAGACCTATCTTCCAGCTGTTTCTGGGCCAGCCTGACTTCAAAGGAACATCAGATATTTCAGCAAAACAAGCATTTTTTTTTTACTCCCTGACTTCTGAGGGAGGCAGGGGGAGCTACTTGGGGGCACAGTGTGAGACCAAATGACTTTTAGATCCCCCACAGTGTGGACCAACTTTGGGGTCCTGAAACTTCAGTTCACAGATCTCTGGAGGTTCTGCCCGGACATGCCAGTCTGACCATGTACCCAAAGCAATACACGGGCCACTAGGGAGTGTCCCTCCCTCTCCAACCCAGTGCACAAGCATAGTGGTGTGCCGTGGAGTCAGTTCCGACTCAGAGACCCTGTCTGCATTGGGTTTCCGAAGCTGTAAATCTTATGGGAGCAGAAAGCCTCATCTTTCTTCCATGAAATGACTGGTAGTTTCGAACTGCTGACCTTGAAGTTAGAAGTCCGACTTATGATCATTATGCTACACAGAAACACACACACACACCTGTCTTGAAAGGGGAAATCTCTCCAGCTCCCATGAAGTGTCTGTTAAATTTTAGCAAGAGAGTTTCAGAAGGGACCTGGAACCACCTTACTTAGGTCACATCATTGGACTTCTATTATCCTCTTCTTCCTTCGTCCTTATCCCCTCTTGGTTGTAGTTCCCATGGCTAGCTGCTCTAACCAGAGCATCTCCTCCTGTCCCCTCTGCAGAGCACTACAAACACCACTGGTTTCCCGAAAAGCCGTCCAAGGGCTCCGGCTACCGCTGCATCCGCATCAACCACAAGATGGACCCCATCATTAGCAAGGTGGCCAGCCAGATTGGACTTAGCCAGCCCCAGTTGCACCGGTTGCTTCCCAGTGAGCTGACCCTGTGGGTAGACCCCTATGAGGTGTCCTACCGCATTGGGGAGGATGGCTCCATCTGCGTCCTGTATGAAGAGGCTCCGGTCGCCTCCTCCTACGGGCTCCTCACCTGCAAGAACCAAATGATGCTGGGCCGGAGCAGCCCCTCGAAGAACTACGTGATGGCAGTCTCCAGTTAGATTCCTGCTACCCCAGCCCTGGCACTCTACTGTACTCAATTCTGCCGTGACAACAGGCTATTGCATACCTCAACCTGGGGAACTGTATTTTTAAATGAAGAGCTATTTATATATATATTATTTTTTTTTAAGAAAAGAGGAGGAAAAAAAAAAACCAAAAGATTTTTTTAAAGAAAAAAAATCCTTAAAAGGGAGCTGCTTGGAAGTGGCTTCCCCAGGTGCCTTTAGGAGAGAACTTTTGTGTGCTTGAGTCTGGGAGCCAGTGTCTATCTTTGGGAATGGGGGTCACTGAGAGGTGTATTCAGCTAAGGTGAAGCAGGAGAGGGAACAATCAAGGTTAGCAACTGTGAATGAGAGATGTCTGGATCTGCCCAGGTTGGAGAAGAGAAGAGAGGCTCAGTACCAATGTCTTAGTAACCCAACCAGGCCACCTGCATCCCTGGCCTGCTCTTACTCAGGGGCGTTCCAGCCTAGACTATAATAATAGTATGTTGCCTCTCTCCTCTTTTCTTTTTCCCGTGAGACCTTGGGCAGAGAGTGAAAAGGCTTCTCTTTACTCCTTCTGTCCTAAGCAGCTTTTCATGAAATCATGACTTGTTTGTAAATCTACCCTCAGGGGCCTGTAGATGTTGCTTCCTGGGCATAAATTTAAAGCTTTTTTTGTTTGTTTTAGGGGGGTTCAAGGTTTCAGAAGCAAGGCAGGGGTTGAAAGTTGCTGGAGGTGGAGCAAAAGGGCAGTCTGCACAAAACCTTTGCTTTCTTATATGCTGCTCTGTATGTGAGTGTGTGCAGTGAGTCATTTGCGGGGGGGTTGCAATGGAATTTTGGGACCCAAAGAGTATCTATTGGGGGTGTTTTTTGGCCAAAATCCTTCTTTTTGGAACCACAGGAAAAGGCCTGATGCTGCTGCTATACCTTTAAGAGGTGACTCAAAAGGCTACAGGGAACTCTAGGCCCTTTTTGACTGCCTTCTTTTCAAAAGCACAACAGTCCTCCTCTCCGACCCTCCCCCCCCTCCCCCCTTCCCTTCTGGTTGGGTCATGAAGCTTCCCTATTTTCTAGGACAAGAGTTCTCAGTCACTGTGCAATATGGCCTTCTGGGTCCCAGGAGGGTCTGGAGAACTGGCTCTCAGAGCCGTCCAGTGCACTGGCTTTGGGAAACATCTCTGACTGTCCTGGGAACTCTGGCTGGCTGGTCTGCCTCACAGGTAGTCCTTGACTGAGAGGGAGAGTGCCCCAAGTTCCGCAGGACTGCTTGGTATTCTCCTGGGGCTGACACTAAACGCCAAACCTTGGGCATTGTTTTTTCTCCCTGGTGCTAAGAGCACCTGTGGAGGAGGTTGTTCCTCTCTCAGTATGATCCACTTTGGTCCGTAGACTTGTGCAATATTTACTATTCTGGGTTGGAGAAAAATGGAAAATGATACTGAGAAGAAAACCCCTTTTCCTGCAGTTTCTCAGTGACATTGATGAGGGGTATCTCAGAAGGCCTTGAGTTTCCCAAACTGAATCACCTTAAGAAGGATGTAGCAGAGCATCTAGTCAGCTTAGCTACTCTCCTATTGTTGCCTGAATCTTCCTTCGCTTCTGCCCCCACCTCCACACTCCTCTCCCCAATTGCCAGTCCCCTGTCGTGGATTTCTGAACTACCCAATTCTGACTCAAAAATGGTGCTATATACCAAACACTCTCTGGAGCCATCCCTGCCAGGTCTGCCTCCTTTTTGACTCTCCAGATTCTGCGCTGCCTTTCCCAGGTCCTGCTTCTGACCCTTATTGCTTTAAAGTTAACTTTGAGCCCACAGACCTGAGAGCTGATTTTCAGCCTGTGGGTTGTAACAAAGCTGTGAATCACTGCAGATTGTGTTCTTGCTTCTAGCTTGCAAACAGGCCCCTGCCTTTTTAGAAGCAGCCTCATGGTCTCCTGCTTAAATCTTTTCTCTCTTCTTTTTTGATGTTCACTTTAAAAACAATGAAAACCCCAGAGCTGGACTGTTGAGCAGGCCTCTCTTATTAAGTAAAAAATAAATAATGATAGTATGTTCATAAGCTATTCTGACAGAAAAGACAAAGGTTACTAATTGTATAATAGTGTTTTTATATGGAAGAATGTACAGCTTTATGGACAATTGTACACTTTTGTTTTGTTACTTTAATAAAAATGTAGCAGATAAAGCTGTGATGTGTAGAAAAGGTATTGCTACATCACTCATTTACATTTCCCTACCAGATTGAGATCCTTTTTGTGTGTGTTTTATATTCTCTTGACTTGAACTCAGAAAATCCATAGCATATGACAGGCATAAAAGAAAAATCTTGTGTGGCGGGGCTGTGTCCAAGCAAGTATCCACTCCTGCTTTCTTTCATGTGTATACTAACAGCTCCCTGTGAAGTGCTAGAAATGACAAGGTTCTCATTTGAACATTCCCTAGTCTAGTCAGGTCTCCATCTCATGTGTTCTGTTCTTGCTAAGCCTCTGTTTTACTCACTCACTCATGTGTTCTCGATCATTCAATGAGCCTGTGTTGTCATTAAGTACAAAGCACAGAGAATATTAAAAATGATTAAGGCACAGACTGTTTCTCATAGCACAAGGATAGTGAGGAGGGGATGCTGAACTCCTTTCCAGCCCAAAGCAGGCTTGTTTGGAAGTTTCTGGTAGTCTTTCTTGTGAACTTTCAAACCGCCATTCACTACTTGCCTATATTTGCCTCATTGCCTGTGAGCAGCTGGGCTTCAGGATCTATGCCCTGGCTGAATGCCACAAATTAGCAAAGACCATCCATTTCTGGCAGCAAACACTGGTGTGAGAGAGCCAAGGGTTTGTTACCCATTTATAACTCCCTTTGGCTATATGCACAGAATCTACACAAGGAAATAAGAACATTCGTTACCACCCCCAGCTCTGGGTTCTTTCCATGACGTTTTAACTCAGGCTTCCCACCCCCACCCCACCTCCTGGAACAGTAGTTCCCACTGGGAGTCACAAGTATATTTTTGACCTGGATGAGTTGTTTTTTTTCTTGGCCATAAAGTGGACTGTATTGAAACTAAAATTTCAATATGTTGACTTGAGCAGTGGAACATCTCCACTCACTACTTGATACTTTTCATGACTCTAAGTAAACATGTCTGAGACATGCCAGGTCTGAGGGAGGTCAAGGAAGCTGAGCGTAGAATGTTTGGAGGAAGGGTAGAAGAGAGACCAGCTTATCTGTGTCATAAATAGAATCCATTACTGGGACCCACTTGTGTCAGGAGGCTGTTATTGAGAGAGGTGGTTCGAGTTTGTAGCTTTTAAGACACATGCCTTTGGAACTCATATATTAGTCCCTGCTGTAGTGCTGCAGGATCAGCACTGTACTGTGAAGTACAAAATTGGTCGTTCAAACCAACCAGCTGCTCCTCAGAAACCCTATACAGGGTTGCGATGAGTCAGAACTGACTCGATGGCACTCAACATCAACAACATTCTTTGGATATAGGAGTTCTGGTGTGGTGCTGTAGGCTAAGCACTGCACTGCTGACCATAAGCTAACTGCAAGGTTGGTTGTTCAAACCCACCAAGCCACTCCTCGAAAAATACAGGGTCACTACGAAGCAGAACCAACTGGATGGTACTTAACATTCTTTGGAAATAAAGGCAGGGTTTGGGTTGAAGAATTTTGCCTGGTCAGATGTGCTGTGCTCTTTGGCATTCAGTACTATCTTTGTGCATTTTGTCCTATAAGGCCCTACTCACAGAAGATATTTCATGGCTTAGTAGAACGACTGAAATTTACGGAAGGGTAATCGGAAGCTGAGATGACACCTCAACCCACGTCTATGTCTTCAAGTCAGGGACCCCACAGGGTGGCTGAGGCATTTTCAGGTTTCTCTTGGCAGACTAATTTTAATTTCCTCACTTTACGTAAGAGGGTTCTGTGATCAACCGATGTGTTATTTAGAACTGATCCCTTGCAGTGGAGAGTACCCCTGGACCTGGCTGAAGGGCACAGGTGCTCTGAGTTGCAATAGGTAGTTTTCATGTGTTGTGGGACTGAGCATGCTTGGTCTGCTCTGTTCCCAGCTTCCCCACTTGGCAAAGAGTGCCGGCTAGGGAGACCTATGCTCAGTCAGCTGTTTTGGGATGATAATGCACCTCCCAGGGAGTGCAGACAAGGCCTGGGAACTGCAGATAAAGAGCCCATCCTGGCTCTTGATAAGGAGCTATGGGTGGGGGAGACCTTGGTGCCAAAACAAACAGGCCTCAGGAGGAAGAAACCCACTGCCCCTGTAGAAGCCTTTGGTAAGGTAAGATAGTGAGTGAGGACTCAAGTGTCCTGGCTTCCAGGCCAGAACAGACACTCTGGCCTAGCAAAGCATGGTGCAGCAGAAAGAGCACTGGGCTGGGAGGGAGAACAGATGGATCCTGCGCTTGCTTCTTCTTGCTAACTAGCTGTGTAAGTTTGGGCAAGCCCCCCAGCTTTGTTGTTAACTGCCATGGAGGCTACTCCACAGAATGTTGCCTGGGTCTGTACCATGCCATGACAGACTGTGGATCAGAATGTTGTGGTCCATGGGTTTTCAATGACTGATTTTCCAAAGTAGATCACCAGGCCTTTATTCCTAGACTGCCTAAGTCAGGAAGCTTCACTGAAACCTGGTCATCATTGTTGTTGTTAAGGGCTGACTCATTATCATAGCCACTCGCAAACCTCCACTGATAGATAGGTGGTAGTTGTTCAGGGGCTACACTGGATGGAAATCAAACTAGGGCCTCCCATGTGGAAGGTGAGAATCCTGCCACTGACCCACCACTGCCCTCGTTGTTGTTGTTGTTTTTAAGTACCACAAGTCGGCTCCAACTCATAGTGACACTGTATAGGGTTTCCGAGGAGCAGCTGGTGAGTTTGAATTACGGATGTTGTGGTCCACACTAGAACTGCCTTCTTAGGGGCTGGGTTAAATGATCTCTGTCCCTCTCTTCAGCTTTTGAGTCAAAATCACCTCCTTTGTCTTAGCCATCACTGGAGGGTACATTTGCACAGATCTTAGCATTCCTTTCATTGATTTGAACTGAAGTGGTATTTGGACTAGTGAATGGAGCACATAGTCATCTTCTCTTGTTGGGGTTATTTTCCAGGAAGAACTTTCCATTTCCAGACATAGCAAGGCAGGTGCTCCAGCACTGGCGCCAGACTGCCTGGGGTCAAGGTGGGGTCTGATCTCAACTCTACCACCTGCCTCCTAGCTGTGCAACCAAGTGACTTAGCCCACTGTGCCTCCG